GGGGAAATGGTTTCAGTTTTTGCCCATTGAGTATGATGTTGGCTGAAGGTTTGTCATATATGGCCTTTATCTTGGAGATATGCAGCCTCTATTCCCACTTTGCTGAGAGTTTTTATCAAAAATGGGTGTTGGATTGCCCTGGCTGGTTTGGCTCCGTGGATGGAGCATAAGCCTGTGGAGTGAAGTGTCCTGGTTTTGATTCTGGTCAAGGGCACATGCCTGGGTTGTGGGCTCAATTCCCAGTGGGGGGTGGGGAGGCGTGCAGGAGGCAGCCGATCGATGATTCTCTCTCTGATGTTTCTATCTCTCTCTCCCTCTGCCTTCCTCTCTAAAATCAATTTAAAAAAATTTTTTTTTAAAAAATTGTTTTAAAAGGGTGTTGGATTTTGTCAAATGCTTTATCTGGGTCTATTGATATGATCACGTGATGTTTGTCTTTGTTTATGTGATGTGTCATGTTTATTGATTTGCATCCCTGGAACAAATCCCACTTGGTCATGGTGTATGACCTTTTTAATATATTGCTGGATCCGATTTGTTAATATTTTGATGAGGATTTTTACACCTATGTTCATCAGGGATATTGGCCTGTAATTCTCTTTCTTTGCAGTGTCATTATCTGGTTTTGGAATTAGGATAATGCTGGCCTCATAAAAAGATCTTGGAAGTAATCCTTCCTCTTGGATTTTTTGGAATAGTTTGAGGAGTATAGGTGTTAGTTCTTCTTTGAATGTTTGGTAAAACTCCTCTGTGAAGCCATCCAGACCCGGGCTTTTGTTTGCTGGAAGTTTTTTTTTTATTATTATTATTACTGCTTCTATTTCATCAGTTGTTATTGGCCTATTCAGGTTTTCTGATTCTTCCTGATTCAGTTTTGAGAGATTGTATTTTTCTAGGAATTTGTCCATTTCACCCCCATTGTCCAGCTCATTGGCATAGAGTTGTTCATAGTATTTTCTTACAGTCTTTCTGTGGGGTCAGTGATTACTTCTCCACTTTTGTTTCTGACTTTATTTATTTTGGTCTTCTCTCTTTGTTTCTTGATGAGTCTGGCTAACAGTTCATCAATTTTATTTATCTTTTCAAAGAACCAGCTCTCGGTTTCATCGATCAGTTGTATTGCTTTTTTAGTCTCTGTGTAATTTATTTCTGCTCTAATCTTTATTATTTCCTTCCTTCTACTTACTCTGGGCTTTTCTTGTGGTTCTCTTTCTAATTCTTTGAGTGGTAGGGTTATATAGTTTATTATTAATTTTTCTTGTTTTTGAGGTAGGCCTGCAGTGCTATGAACTTCCCTCTCAGGACTGCTTTTGCCGTGTCCCAGAGATTTTTTCCCCCTTGAATTCTACTTTGTATGGTGCCGCCCCAGCAGAGCGATGGCAGGCCCTGATTGTGGGGACTGGGGACAGTGGTGCAGAGCACTGCGGGGGCCATGGTTTTGGTGATGAGGCGGTGGTGTGCTGGGGAAAGAACAGGTGAGGAGGCACAGAGGGCAGGTTCCTGGAGGCAGTTCCAGCTGAAGAAGGGGAGGGAAGGAAAACCAGCTCGGAGCAGGTGGAAGCCCAGCACGTGGAGAACAGTGAGGCTGAAGAGTTAGGAACAACGAAGGCAGCAAGGGGCGAAGGGTTAGGAATAACGAAGGCAGCAAGGGGCGAGAGGGTAGGGCCTGGCCAGCAGCTGCCTCGGAAGAGGACCACCTCCTCTCCTGTTTGCTTTCACATCCGGTGTGGCGAATGGGAGCAGAGCTGAGCGGGGAAGGGGGCAGGCACCCACAGGGACGAGGAGCCGGGTGCTTTTGTCCTGCAGTTCTCAGCTGCCCAGAGAGTAGGGGCCATTGGTGGACCCAGGGCTGATATGGTCAGAGCATCTGGTCAGAAGAGGGGCCCAGGAGGGAGACACAGGGCTAAGCCTGGAGGGGAAGCAGAAGCAACACAGGGAGCCTGGGAGGAAAGAGGCCTATGATGTGGGAGGTGACAGGGAGGGTGTGACAGGAGACAAGGTTGAGAGCCCGAGAGGCCAGGGTGCTGAGCAGGTGTCTGTCACCCAGGCTGATGGGGGCAAGGGCACAGTCAGATGGCAGTGTGAGGCAGGGGCGGGGGCTTAAGATGTCTTATAGCTAAGCCTTGAGGAGCATGGGTTGGGAGAGCAGGATGCAGCGTCCCCCTCCCCCCAAATAGATCCACAAGGGTTTGGAGCTACCCCAAGGCTCAGACAAGGGGCCCTGGGGGTCAGGCTGGCGAAGGTGGACAGCAGCCGGTGGCTCTGCTGCACCCTTCCACCCCACCCCTGAACCAGCCCTCCTATTGGAGCAGCCCTGGGGCTTCTGTGGAAATGCTGCACAGCTGGGGCCCACGGCCCTGGCAGGAGCCGAGACACCTGTGCAGGGGACAGGCCAGGGTGTCTATCTGGTGATCTGGCCAAATGCAGCCCTGCCTCTGCAGAACCTTGGCCCTTGTGTGCCATGCTGAGGTGGGCAGGGGCTGGGCCTGGACTTGCCCCCTCTGAGCCAGTCTCCCCACATGTGCAAAGGCGATGCACTGACCCTTAGTGGTTGTTGCGTGGTGCCTGGGACCTGCTCAGTGGGACCCAGGGCTGCAAGGTCCTCTGTGCACAGGTGCAGCTGAAGGGGTTTGGGGGCCAGTTTGTTCACAGTGGAGGCCTTGGGTTCGGTCTTGCAGGTGGGGGGCTTGGGAGAGCCTTATGAGTTGGAACCTTCCAGACATCGGAAGGTTGGGTTCCGTCCAACTTTGCCATGACTTGCTTGACCCTAGGCCAACCTCTTCCCCGTGATGGGCCTGTCCCCTCCTGGAGGCAGACTTCAGCAGGTGGGACAGCATCTGAAGCAGAGCTGGGCAGGAGCTGGTGTCTGCTGCAGGGCAAGTGTGGGCCCTTCTCCCAGGAGACCCTGGGACCAGCAAAGACCTCACTTCCGAGCTGGCTGAGCCATGGGGAGGCTTGCAGCCCACCTGCTCCACTGCCTGGAGGAGGGGACACCGGCTCGCTCAGGGAGCCGAGACCACCACTGTGTGCAGTGCCACCAGGTGAACCAAGTGCTGGCACAGGGGGGCAACATCAGCCCATGACTCAAGGGTCACCCCCACAAAAATCTCCCAAGACACAGCTGAATGGAGAGGCGAGCCAGGCTTAAAATAGCTAAATAAATCTTTAATATTTCTAATTGCAAATGTACAGAAATTGCACAGCCACACAGTCTTAGAACACCAACAACTTTCTCTGTACATTATTACATAGTTAAAAGTCACAGCTGGAGAGGCTCCGGCCGAGACTCCACGTTTGCGGTTTTGTCCTTTTCACATACTTACAAAAGGGGGGCAGGGAGGTGGGGGGCCGGGCGAGAAAAGAGAGGGGCTGTTTCCCTGGACAGTCTGCCTTCTGCAGACGGACGGGTGGGAGGGAGAGGTGCATCCGGCAGATGCTCTGTGGGGGAGGGGAGAGCTCTGGCCTCGGTTCCCCACCCCCCTTATCGGGCAGTTGGAAAAAGTCTTCACTTATAGGAAGTTTGGCAGTTTCCTTCACCCTAAACATAAAAGTTCACCAAATAGTCAGGCGCCTCTGTGTTGGCAAAGGAGAGGAGCGGGTCTCCTGTAGGGTCTGGGCTGGGACCGTGGTCCTCCCCACCCCCGCCCTGCGGGCCCTCTGTCTGCAGGCCGTCCAGCACCACGACGCGGGTTCTGTGTGGCCCAGGTGAGAGCCCCCTTTGCTGGCCCAGCCAGGGCGCATGTGCCCATCACCCCCACCCAGACAGCACACTGCAAAGCAAACAAATTAATGCCACGGGCAGGGGGGGAACCCCAGCACCCAAATCCCAAACGTCTTCCTCCTGCCCAATACTGTTCTCTAGATTAAAATATAAAATACAAACCATCGGAGAGCAGCGGTCCCGGGCAGCCCTCGGCAGCACCAGGACTAGAGGACTATGTACAACCGTTAGGTGAAATAGTTACATTACAGTCAAACACCAAGAACATTTACAAAAATGGTCAGACTTGCAATTCAGATAAAAATCTGGAGTCTGTACACGTTTACAGTTTTTGCACTAGGTAAGTAAGGTTTTGGCCTGAGAGCTCACAGCCCAGCCAAGGGCCGTCAGCACCGGCCACCGCGCTGGCCTCCTGCGCCTGCTGTCGGCCCTGGAACCTCCCCTGTATTGCTAAGAGGCGCTCAGTCCGAGGTCGCTCTACGAGGCATCGGTGGGCGGAGAGTCAGGGGGGGGGGG